CTGTGGCACATTGAGAGGTCTTTTTTGAAATCGCGACCAAGGACAACCCCCCCCCCGTGCACACTTCACGCGCTTTATCATTTTACAGATTGGTTTTATGCACACCTCTTAACACTTTGACATCTTCTTACTGTTTCCTTGGGAGCTAGGAATTTGTTAGTGTACATCAGCCCTGAATTGCCTAAAAGAGTTGCTGGTTTTAGGAGGCTGAGGCGGGAGAATCGCGAGTTTTAGCCCAACCTAAGCAACTTAAGCGTCGCTGTTTCAAAGTAATTTTTAAAGGATCTGGGGGATGTAGTTTAGTTTGGCCTAGTCTCGAGTACTGTGGGGGAAAAAAAGGTTGCTGGTTCTACTGAGCTCAAAAAGTACCTGCTAAAACAGGCATAATGGCGCACACCTGTAATCCCACCAGAAGGATCGCTGCGAGTTCGAGCCCAGCATGGACTACATGGTGAGTTCAAGGTCAGGATAGAATATGCAGCGAGGCCCTGTCTCAAAAAACAAAACGAAACAAAACAAAAAACAAAAGGTACCTGCTAAGGATCAATTTCCTGCTGCAGTGAAATGCCACGGAAAGGATTTCTGTGCTATCATATCCTAGAAATGAATACTGGAGTTGGTAGCAAAAGGACTGAAAGGACAGAGCTTAACAAAATCAGAATACTTGTATAAAGATGATACATTTCCATTTTAACAAATTACCTGAGAAAAAGCATTGGTCTCTGATGCTACGGATTGACAGACAGTGCAGGAGAGAATACAGGATGATCAAATGTGTTTCCAAAGTCAGTGAGAACTCATGGGAAAATTAATCTGTGGGTAGCAGCTGCAAGGTGGAATCTTTAACAACTGCAAAATACTGTAGTCTCTAAACTGGCTATTTGCATACCTGCAGCGAACTACTACATTGTAGTCCCATCCAAAAGTTCACACAAAACTCTCTAGGTCAATTAGTTCTATCAATTTAGCTGAGGACTTCTTAGTCTTCTGCTTTTTTTTTCTGACTTTTTTAAAGGAATTTTTTTTCAGTATAACCCATTGTTTTGTTCACGCTAGACAAGTGCTCTAACACTGAGCTATGCCCTAAGCCCTACCCCTTTTAAAAAATTGTGACACAGATCCTCACTACTTTAATCAGACTGGCCTTGAACTTTGAATCATCTTGTCTCAACCTCCTGAGAAGCTGGGATTATGGGAATCACAAACCTGTGCCATGAGGCTGGCAGGATTTAACTTTTTAGAATATAAAAATCAGCTGTAGCAGTAATCAGGACAGCATGGTCAGTCTGAAATATCCCAGTAAATGTGTATGTATGTATATATGTATGTATTTATTTATGGTACCAGGGATCAAACTCAGGACCTTGTGTTGAGAGGCAGGTGGTAGCACCTCTGAGGTAAATCCCCAGCCCTGTAATTTTGTTTTTAATAAAACCTCTGGATCCTCAGGTATCAATGATGGTCAGCAGCCCTTGTTGAGTTCAGATACCCACAGGGAGATACACACACTAATGTCACTCATGCCTAACCTACATAACCTACAGTATATGCAAGAGCCTGTGTCTGAAACTTTTAGCCTCAACAGCCTCCACCTGGCTCCTGAGTTCTCTTATCAGATCTCATTTGTAGATTATGAAATGTGTGCTGTAGATCCTGTGTGTTGAAAAGCTATATTGTAGGTATAGTAGTTCATGGTATCTGTGTTCTGGTGATAAACTTTTTGCAAAACAAGTTTTTTTTTAATGCTAATTTGTTTGATATTAATGGTGCCTCAACTTGCAGATTTCTCAGATCAATAAAATTTCGAAACAGTTTTGGAGACTGATATAGGTTTGACAGATTTATATTCTGATAAGGAAGGATATTATAAAACCTATTCTTACTGTTCTTTTATAAAAATATTTCAGCATCAAAGGAAAACAAGCTATTTGGAGTGAGACAAGAGAGGGTAAGCAGTATGTTTTGGTTTTAGGGCTTTTTGTTTTGTTTTTTGTTTTTGAGACTGTCTCACCCTGAAATTCAGGCTGGTCTTGAACTCATTGAGATCTTCCTACCTCAGCCTCCAAACTACTGGAATTACAGGCGTGCACCATCATGCCCAGCTTAGCAATCTTGAAAAGACTGAAACTTCTTGATTTTTTCTGATTTCAACTTAGAGACAGGTCATTTGTCATTCTTTCATAGTTAGCAGACACTAGTTTTGGGGACCCATTGATGTACTATTCTCCTTCTTGGTGCCTTTTACTACATACCAAATTATTACACCTTTTAAAAAAATAATCTAAAACATCATTTGGAGGTGGACTAAGTACTACAAAACAAGAAATTTTAGAAGTCATTTGCACAAATTGGATTTTAGTAATCACGTTGCTTACTTATATCCTAATGTTTTTTTTCTAGCTTGTATGCTCTATACAATCCATAACACATATGACGACATTGAAAATAAAGTGGTTGCAGATCTAGGATGTGGTTGTGGAATGCTTAGCATTGGAACTGCAATGTTAGGAGCAGGGTAGGTGATCCAGTTTATACTATTTGGGTATGGGGTGGCTTTAACAAGTGTAAAGAGAATCAACCGAATTATATCCATGGGATTCTCCAGGATGAGATGAGCGGAGAAATAATGTGATACTGAGTACATTTTGAATGGGCAGATCAAAAACTTTTATATAAAATAAATTATAAGCTGGGTGTAGAGGCACATGCACTCAGGAGGATGAGGTAGGAGGATCACTGCAAGTTCAAGGCCAGCCTGGACTATGTAGCAAGACTCCCCCAAATTTACAGTAATAAGAGAGTAGTCCTTTCTATATAAACTTGAGTTTGCATTCCCATGATTTCAGTGTTGGGAAATCATGCTGTGGAAAAGCAACATTCACTCTTACTTTGTCAATTGGATTAAAAAGTAATTAGTAAAATAGCTAGTTTTATTTTTGACTTGGGAGCTGTAAAGTGCCACTCTATTTTTTATTTATAGGTTATGTGTTGGATTCGACATAGATGAAGATGCACTGGAAATATTTAATAGGAATGTGGAAGAGTTTGAATTAACAAATGTTGATATGATTCAGTATGATGTGTGCTCATTATCTAACAGAATGCCCAAGTCATTTGACACAGTGATTATGAATCCTCCCTTTGGGACCAAAAATAATAAAGGTTAGTAAAGTAATTGGGTGTATTGATATATTTATAGAAAAGCAAATTTTAGAAATCATTTTCTGGGGTGGGTATTGTGGTACACTCATTCTGGAAAGTGAGGCAGAAGGACACAAGTTTGAATCCAGCCTGGGCAACTTAGTGAGACCCTGTCTCAAAAAATAAAAACTGGGCTGGGGATGTAGCCTAGTGCAAATCCCAGTTCAATCCCCAGTACTGCAATGTAAAACATAAATTATTATAAATTTTATTTAAAATTTAATTATAGTGTTCGTTAAATAAACCAGGCTCTTACTTATATATTTACTACAATTTAAATTTCAGTTTATGAATATATGATTAAGAGGGCTGGGATTTAGCTCAGTGGCACCTCACCTGCCTTGCAAGCCCAACGCTGAGTTCAATCCCAATACCAAAATGTGTGTGTGTGTGTGTGTGTGTGTGTATACATGATTAGGGAATTGAATTTTTCAACCCTTTTCAAAAACTTGGGAACTTATCATTTATTATTTGTATACCTAATTATTTGCCAAGTTATGAATGAAAATGAAGATATGAAGGATTTTATAATTTTTTGTTTTTTTTTTTTGAGAAAGGGTCTTTTATCACATAGTTCAGGCTGGGCTTGAACTTGCATCGATCCTCCTACCTTAGCCTCCAGAGTGCTGGGATTACAGGTGTGCACCACCATGCCCACCAGGATTTTATACTTTTACTATGTTTTCGGGGGGTGGCGCACTGGGATTGAATTTGGCCTTGGTACGCACATGCTATAGAACTACACTATACCTCCCCAAGTGCCTAAAATCTTATTTTTGTGTTGCAAGGAGTGAGACAGGGTCTCTCAAATGTAGTTTAGGCTGGTCTTGCACTTGCTATGTATCCAGGCTGGCCTCGAACTTATGGTGATCCTCCTGCCTCAGCCTCCCAAATGCTGGGATTATAGGTACACCGCCACATCTGGCTTAAAATATATTTTTAAAGCCTAAAACACCTAAGGATTTCAAAATGTACCCATCTATAAGTGACTCACTATAGCTATTGATTTTGGATACACTATGGGCAGGGAAGGCAAGAAGTCTTAAGAGAATTTTAAAGGTACACCAAGCCCACCAAGATGATTACTATTCTACATGTTCCCTTTTCCCCTTTTTGAAAGTCAATAATTTGGGGTATGATATTTTAAAATTTAGCCTTATTTTCTAACCAAGACAGTTTTAATTCTGGTTTATTCTCTCAACCTTAACAAAATACTGTACTTAATTTGTTTAATTTTATTGTTTTATATCATGAGTTATTGCAGAAAGAACTTGAAATGGCTGTTTTGGACTTTGGGGGAAATTTTTCTAAATCCTATTCTTTAACCTTTACTTTGATAATACATAATCTACTGGGGCTTTTCTTTTTTCCACAGGGATAGATATGGCTTTTCTGAAGATTGCTTTGGAAATGGCAAGAACAGCAGTATATTCTTTACACAAATCCTCAACTAGAGAAGTAAGTTTAAATCACCTGACAGTCACTGATTTTTAAATGGGACTCTTTTTAGAAATTGCTGTCAATGCTAGATACCAGTGTCTTGTTTCTCCTGGCCTTTTTGATATCTAGCACTTAAAAACGGAATTTTCTCTTTAACCAGCTGGATATGTGATTAGCTTTTTTTCCTAGCATGCATTACTAATTTCTTTCATCAAAGATTTGTTCACATAGAACTAATGCAGGAAAGGAACTATAAAGGGAGAAGGGTGCTAAAACTAGTTTCCATACCTTCTGGTTGTCTCTGGGACAATGCCTTTTGTCCTAGTGTCAATGTGGCTTATGTGCTTTAGGGACATGTTAAGCCCTAGTTATTTAAAATACTGAACCTTCAGCAAAGATCTGCATTCAGAAACTACCTCTTCCATTTTCCTCTTTGCCAAAATATAATGCGGGAGGTGTGTGGATGTAAGCGTGCGTCCATGTGTGTGTAAGATGTATTCAGGGAAACTGGGGGGTCAGTGATTAAGAACTGTGTTATCTTGATCAAGGCACTTAAGCTTAAGTTCCCTCACTTATACTGCACTAACTTATACAGTACTTAGTGTAAAGGACATTATACAATTTTAAGTATTGACTTCATATTTAATAAAGCACTTAGATCAGTGTCTGGCATATCTAAATCTTATGTGTTGGTGGCTGTTATGTTTAACACGTACTTTAAAGAATTTTAAAGTGGTTTTGAAGGAAAAATATTCATGAACATATAAAAATCCTTTTGGAAACACGTTCTAAATGGTGACCTAGTAACTTTTTAAAGTATAAAGTCAAACAACTAAAAAGAAACTGCTGATGATGTGTAATAGTACACACAGGCAACAGAAAGCAAGACATTTACTGGTAAAAAAAAAAATCGTTCATATGAAAGCAAACACTAGTATACTGTACAATGGTATCTAAAAAACTTGGGTTGGGTGGCCCCCAAACCACCTGCCAGTTAATTCATTGGAAATCTCACAGGATCCAGAATATAGTTTTATATATCTAGCTATGACTTATTACAAAAGGGTTCAGGGCCAAATCAAAGAAAGGTACACTGGGCAGTCCGAGGGCAACAGGTATAAGCTTCCCGTCTTCTCCCAGTAGACTAAAACAGGACACACTTAATTCTTCCATCATGAATTGTGACAAAACTTGTGAAGTATTGCCAGCTACAGAAGCTCATTAGTCGCCGTTCTTATGTTTTTATTGGGCACCAATCATTAAAGAATCCCCCTTATGACACCCAAATTCCATATTCCCATTAAGAATACATGTGTTCAGCATAAACAGCTCAGGCACAGTGAGCCACTTTTATCAAGGGGGTAGGGAGTCAAAACTCTCCCAGAGTTTTAAGTTCCCATGCTCTAGCAATGGCCAGATGTACCAGGAGGCCTTTCTAAGGATAAGCACTCTGGCCTCTTATGAACACTTTTCTGCATAACTGGGCATGACATGAACTTTATCTAACTCTTAAAATTCATGCAGCAAAATATGACAATTAAAAAAGGTGCAATTACAGGAAAATCTAGTTACTGTATTTGAGTGACTTCCTCACATTATCAGAACTCATCTTCACTGTTTAGTATCGTCATGCTTCACCATTAGGTGGCAGCAGTATTAGCAGTGCCTTGCTAGGCTTCAGGGTTGAACTCTTAAAAAAAATTATTTCAAGTTCTTTTTTTACTTAGAGCAGAATATTTCCATAAGCATAGTAACTAAAAACTAATTAATCTGGTGAGAAATTAATCATGCACACTGGGAAGGAGGTATGATGAGGGATAGACTTCCTTCTAATATTAAGATAGTCTGTTTTATGCTGTAAATTTACCTGCTACAAATTTATAATTTTGCTTATTTCAGGTTTAATTAGCAGCATTGTTACTGAAGCTTATCATAAACCCCTTAACTATACACCTTTTATTTAAAGTGTTTGATTTGCACCTGGTAACTGTTTAATAGAAACATTTAGGTTTATGTAGCTTAGTGAAGTCCTGAGTTCTACACCTGCCCACTTCCAAAAAAAAAAAGTGTCCTGGCAAACTCACTAATATCCTGACTCTGAAAGCTGCTATTTTACATCTAGCATTCTAAAATTTTAGTTCTTGGCTCATAGACTTGACAAGAGTAGCACAGTAGGCAAGCCTGGTGCTACTGTTTATCCAAAGTTCACCCACTAGCTCTTTTAGATCTCTGGCAGAACTATATACCCTATTATATATTCTAACATCTAAACTCTCTTTCCTTCAGGGTTTAGGTGGCAAAGAAATGCCACAATTTCTCACAAACTTATCAAGGATTCTATGATTCCATTTTAATTATAATATACATTACATTATAATTTACACTAGTCTATATCCTTTTATAGAACTTCTGGATCTCAAATATGACCAGCACTGAGATTAAACTCAGGAATATCGCAAGCACAAACATTAAAGTATTATTTTATAACACTGGAAATACTGGTACCTAAAAACTGGAAAAATTTAAGTTATCTTTTGACTCTAATTGATACCAATTAAGTATTGTCAAAATGGACAAAATGCTTGTAACAATTTTAACATCCCTAGTACAGTATTTCTAAATTTTGCGTGAATAGTTTATTTGGGGGATTGTGGTCAACTTTCTTTACTTTCATTAATGCTGTAATATTGTATATACTTTTTTACTATTTATTTAGGGCATTTTTGGTTGAGATAGGGTGTCACTATCTAGTCCATGCTAGCCTTGAACTGTGTGGCCCAGGCCTGACCTCAAACTCATGGTGATCCTCTGGCCTCAGGCTCCTGACTGCTAGAATGAGTGCACTACCACACCCAGCAGTAAAGCAATCAATCAGCAAATTAGTAACTAAAATTTAGTAATCCTTTATGAAGTAGTTCTAGAGTTTCAGACCTAAAACAGCTAATAACATATTTGGATGGTTTGATAGGACAGTTCAAAACACTTTTCAGTCAGCAAAAATCCAATGGATTATCCTGATTGGAGGAAATCAAGGAACAGAATGAGTAATTTGCTCCGGGTTACATAGCTAGTAAGCAGATCTGTAATGGTATTCAGTCTGGTTCCAGAGGCCATGCTGCTATTGTAGATGCTACCACTTAATTGCTCATGGACATTATCTCTGCTAAATACCATCTCTGCCAAATACCAGTTTCTAGGTTACTTAGTTATATGTGTTAATGTAATATAATAATACTGCAGAAACCATGTGTACTGGATTTGAGTTTTTTTACCTTTTGTTAAATGCGCTGTTTTGAGACATGGTCTCACAATGTAGTTCCAGCTGACCTCAAACTTGTGATCCTCCTGCCTCAGCCTTCTGAGTGCTAGGATTACAGGCATGTGCCACTTGTGAAATGGCATGATTTCTGATTTACAAAGTACTACCCATCTAGTTGAAGTATCTGTAAGAATTTAATTTCCATGAAATTTTAAGTTTGAAAAGTTAATCTGCAATATTAAGTAAAAGCAGTTTTAAAAGTCATTAAAAACCAGCTCACATGAAGATGTTATTTGTGTTTAGCATGTTCAGAAAAAAGCTGCAGAATGGAAAGTCAAGATAGATATTCTTGCAGGTAAGATAAATCTCAATCCTAATTATCTAAAAGGGCCAAAATATTAACCAAACCAAAATGTTTATACAAGTAATGAAAAAATATAATACAGTATAAAATGTTTTTCATTGTGGTAAATGTGTATGATTGGTAATGGACTGGAAATGGAGGAAATGCACAACATTCAATTTATGCTTTTTTGTTTTTGGCAGTACTAACAAGTGTTGAACCCAGAGTCTTTGCAATGAGCTATATATGCTCATTCTTTGTTTTAGTTTGAGATAGGGTCTCACCAAATCATTAAGTTGCCCAGGCTGAGCTCAAACTTTAAATCCTCCTACCTCAGCTTCCCAGAATGCTGCGATTAAAGCTGTGTGCCACCACATCCGGCTTGCTGAGAATTTCTAACAGCACCCAGGTTTTAGATACTCTAGTCATATACCATCACAGTGAGTACATGCCTCATAGCTGGTTAGGACCTTGATTTAAATCTGTTCATGGAAAATGTCACCAGGTTATCCCTAACTTATCTCCCAATTTTCTGATTCCCAAGTCAGGCACTGACCTTTTTCTTTTTGATGTTAGATAGAATGTCAATGTTCACATTGTGCGTAAATCGTATTTAATACATTTTTTTACTCATTTGGGTGATATTCACAAATATTACAATAGGAAATAACTAGGAAGTATAATGCAAACACTTTTTTAAAAAAACCTAAGACAGTCTAGCTACATAGTCTGGGCTGGCCTCAGACACTTTCCCAAGTGTCTAGACTACAGCCAGCCATGTGCTATCATACCTCACTAATCCAAATACTTTTGAAAAGCCTAAAATGAAAGAGTGTGAGAACATATTTACATAATAAAAAAACTTAACCATGAATTGGCTAAGTATGTTATTACTCATAATAATTAGTATCCATGTATTTAAAAGATCTGTTGTTTTTCCTATTATATTCAGTATTGTCATTACTTATGCACCCTAACAGATAAGTAATAAAGGTCACTTTATTACAACAGTCCCAGTAGTATACCAAGGCAAAACCTTACTATACATATGGTCTCCAGACCCTCAGTGTGACATCTCTGGAAGCTTGTTAGAAATACAGAATTTCAGCTTTCACTCAAATTTACTAAATTTCAACACGACCTTGGTGTTTAGAGTACACATTAATACTTGAGAACAATGACAGGGCTATAATTTAGGTTGGGATAAAGGAAAGATAGCGGATTGCCATTTATCTAAAATACATCGTAGAGGAAAGAGTATGAAAAATGGGCTTTCATTTTAGCACTCAGAAGCAAAGTAACCAGTGACTTATTACCACTACTAAAATCTGAACAAAATGATTTTGAAGTAAGCTTGGTTAAGATTATATCAGCTAAAAAATGAGAACCAAGACCTGTCATGTAAAGGTACAAGATGAATGTAACTGTACTGTACACCTAAAATGTACCAATAAACTCAGTGAGGGAAAAAAAAAAAAGATTATGTCAGCTAAATTACTAGGAAGTGAAAAACAGGTCCTATCACTTCAAGGATTTTTTTGGTTTTCTTTTCAAATTCCCCATAATCTCAAATTTTGGTATAAATGGTCAAACGGCAGAAAAACCACACCCAGTTTATCACAGCTAAACTTGAAGCTGTTATCAGGAGAAATGTTCAAGTGACATGTCTGAGCTGTTAAACTTGTAAGCATTTAATATCTTCTTAGTTTTGTTTTTAGTTAAGGGTGGTAAATGTTTGGAAATGTAATTTTAATCTGTACGTGGCTTTTGTTTTACAGAGCTTCGATATGACCTGCCAGCATTATATAACTTTCATAAAAAGAAATCAGTAAGTCTCTTGATTCTGGCCATCCAGCATTCAGTACTGAAAACTCTTCAACCAATCATATTTCCACTATTATCAAATTGCCTGGGTAAATATATAAAGCCAGCCCCAGAGATTAGCTGTAAAAGTTGGGTGTGGTGGTACACATCTGTGATCCCAGCACTTGGGAGACTGAAGCAGGAAAATTGCCTGAAGCCAGGTAAAGCTTCACAGTAAGTTCAAGGCCAGCCTGAACTCACTCAGGCCGTCTGACACTGTCTCAAAAACCAGTGTGAGAAGGGCTCACAATAAACAGCTAACACTCTATAGTTGAAAATCTTAAATAGGGCACAAAAAGTAAAAAGTGAATTCTTACTTTTTATATAGTATATATTGTTATTTTATACTAATACATTCTCATGTTACAAAGGCAATTTAGTGGAAGAATCTTCCTTTTGACATTTGTATCGTGAACACAAACAGAACAATACATTTTAAAAAAATGTGTGTGGATAACAACAAAAAGACAAAGTTAAAACAACAAAAAAAATTGTCCTTTTTTACAGGTGGACATTGAAGTGGACCTAATTCGGTTTTCTTTTTAAAAGCCTCCAAAGACAAAAAGCAGCTTAAAACCTAAGATGAATAAAAAAATTGTTTACTAAACTACTGGTCTCCAGCACCATTTTCTGTTTTCTGTTGTTTTGATGCAGGTTCTTCTTTGTCTATTTCTTCTCTTGCTCTTTTCACTGGTCCTGTAAAATAACAGACTTTTCGTTAAATTCACTGTAAATACTGCTCCATTTTCATATAAAGCACAATTATTAATAGCTGCTTTAATGCAACAACTTTCCTCTAATTAGAAGTCTTTTCTTTTAGTACAGATCTTCAGATTGCTAAACTTACCAAATACTCTCCCACTTAAAGAACAACAAAATCAAAGTAAACCATAATAATCTAAAGATAGTGCTTCCAAAGAAATAACTATCCCTGTTCTCTGTGGCAAATTAAAAAAAACTTACCAGCTGCACCATTTTCATTGCGTTCTTCATCACTATCAAATTTTGTTTTCTTGCCCTGAAACTGTACTTTTCCTTTAGCAGATCCAGGCTGGGCAGCTTTATTTCCTTTTCCTTTTCCTTTAAATCTGCGTCCTGTAGAGATATAATTGAAGATTCAGTAAAGAGAAAATTGCAAGTCTGTTGTCTTTTTTTTTTTTTTTTTTTTTTTTTTTTTTTTTTGGTAGCAGGGATCGAACTCGGCCTTGCACTTGTAAGGCAGGCAGTGGCACCACTGAGCTAAATCCCTGGCCCTGCTGTCATTATTCTTGAACATGGATTAAAATATTTATTCAAATGATATAAAATAACCAAACTGTTAATAAAAATCAAAAGAAATGACCTTTTGACTTCCATTTGTTTAAGGATTCTTGTTGATCTTCTATGATTTTTTTCAAAGCTTCTTTTTCCACCTCTCCTTCCAGTACTTCCCATGTCACTTCCTTGTTCCTTAATTGTAGGCTACCATTGTTGGCATCTTTGGCTTTATCCAGTGCTTCCTTGGCTTTTTCTTTAAATAGAATTACTCCCTAAACCAACAACAAAAAATGAAAGCCATTTAGTTTTTAGCCCCACAATTATACTTAATTATACAATCTATACTTAAGGTAATGTTTCATACACTGTAAATTTTTTATCCCATTACTGGTTTCAATGAATTTTACTGAACATTAGAAAAGGAATGCTACAGATATAAACTACAAATTCAGAAAACACCAAATATCACATCCAATGACAGGAATGACAAAATGAAAAGTAAATAATCAAGTATAGACTATTTTAAATAACACAATTTTAAAATTGCTTTCCACCATTTTACCTTCTAAAAATTAAGTTTCTATGGATTTTTAAACTGATTGCTGCCAGGGATTTGGCTCTGGTTCCACTGCCTGCCTCGCAAATGCAAGGACCCCAGTTCGATCCCCAGTACCAAAAAAAAAGAGAAATCCTTATAAACTGATTGCTAAAAAGTATTTGAATGTTTCCAAACCTCTTTTGCTCCTCTGACAAAGTCTATCCATTTTATTTCACCATGGTTTGAGAAAAGGACGTGCAAATCTTCTCTACAGGTCTGATCGTCTAAGTCACCTGAGAACTTTAGCAAGCATCCAATCTTTTCTTCTAGAGATTTCTATGAAAATACACAAGGCAATCAAATCTTTTATAAAAACAACCATATAACCAGAAATGGATCATACCACTCTATACCTATACAAGGAACAAGCTAGCAAGAAAATCCTATTTTAATATAGTTTAATAGTTTATTCTCTTTTGTCTCATCTTTTACTCTATAACGGCTTCTAATTTAACAATTTCTTCTATAATATTTAGTCATAGACTATCCTAGTAAGCTACCAGAGTAATAATTTTAAGCAATATTATTTGTGTATTACTTAAGTGCAAGGCCCTGAATTCAATCCCTAGTACTCACCCCCTCAACACACACACAAACACACACGTTCTCAGATTTTTTAAAAGCTATTCTAACTTATTATAGATATGCTAGATACCAGTAATACATACATACCATTTCAGCATCTTCTGCTAACTTCTGTTTCTCTTCTTGCTCTCTACAAATGAACATGTTTTAATTATGTTTCTGCTTAGTATGTAAGAAAATTAAATCTTAATAAATAACTCTGATCATGACCATTAAAACTATTTAATAACCAAAGCCAGCCCTTAGGTTTTCTGATCATCCAATGCTAGACCTGCACTGGAATACGGCCTCAACACAGCAAGGTAACTTGAACTCCACATTTTATTATTAATAAAGAAAGGCTTGTTACTATTTATTCAAAGCTCATCATTAGCTCTTCCAAGAACCATTAACTTAAACCTTGTTAAAAGCTTTACGAAATTCAAGTATATCATGATTAATTCAACATACTTACTGTTTAGCTCTTAATTTAGCTTCCACTTTATTTTGCTTTCTTTCTTCATTTTTCTTTGCAAAATAATCTTCCCTAAATACAAAATACAAAGGCCATGGTCATAAAATAAAGAATAAATTATTTTGAATGACTTAAGCATGACATAGCAAGGAATTTACACTATCAACATAATCACCTAAAATCTCAAAATATGTCAAGGTTACAGTTTAACTAAATAGGTACATGAAACAGCAAAAAAACTTACTTAAAAAGTATTAGCAAGTCTGTGTCTTTATACTTCTGGTCTGGAGTTTCTACAAATTTCTTAGCAGATTCAATGCTATCAAACACAGCAAATATTGATCCCTATTTTAAAAAAAAAGGAAAAGTTTTTACATTATGGCCCATGTATCTTACTAGAGAAAGCCTCTATCATCATAAAATCATACCTTAAATGCTTTGTGTAATGTTCTTCTCATCTGGATATTTAGTACTTGACCTTTATCTTCTAGCCATTCTTTGATATCATCAAGGGTTGCATCCGTTGGGAAGCCTTTCTGTAGAAAGTGGGAAGACAGGCTTCAAAATAATTCCATAGTGTGCAGAGACAAAACATTATTCATAGATTAAAAATGGTCAAAATATTTTGTGGAGTTTGTATTTTACATTTGCAAGGTGAGAAGTTTTAAATAAAACTGTAATGTTTTATCTGAAACAAAATGGTTAAAATTTGAAGAATATATTACATTATTTTTGTATCCCTGAAACTTTCCATAATAAAAAAACAGAATAGCTGAAAACACACTGGGTGCTTAAAATATGTCAAAGACTGTCATAAATGGTATTTTTCTTCATTTAACTTTAACATTTCAATTAGGCAGGCAGTATTATCCCATTTATGAAAATAAGGCTTAGAAAGGTTACGAACGCTGCCAAAGGACATACAGAAAGTACTGACACCGTGATCCTGAGACCATATTCTTACTCCACTCCCTCTTCTTTCTACAGAAATGTAAAATATTATAAAGACTTACTTACAATATAAACAGATCTGTTTTTTACATCATTTTTGTACTCATCAGTCACTTCAGGGAGGGGTTTGTTTGGAGATCTTCTGATTTTAGTTTTATCTTCACTGATTTCCATGAGTTCTGCTTTAGATTTGCTCAACGCTTCCACTATTACATTAAAGTCTGTTGTCAGGCGATTGAGTCTAAAGAGGTAGAAGTATTTTAACACTCAGTAGTACTGCTCATTATTAATAGAAAATCTAAACAATTCATAAAGGTTATGAAAAGGTTTTGAGCTCAGTGTGTAGAGTACTTGCCTAACACACACAAGGCTCTAAATATGATCCAGAATACAAACAAAAAGATTTTTACCTGTTGAATTTTATCATTATTTCCAAGGGTACCCAGCCTTCATCCAATTTGATCTGTTCCTTTAAAAATTTGTCCCGTGGCAAATTGAAGTCTCCAAAATAATACTGTAAGATAATTCAATATATTTCACATTTCAGGGCATTATATAATACTGAGTCCAATCCCGGAACTGTGTGTGTGTGTGTGTGTGTGTGTGTGTGTGTGTGTGCGTGCGTGTGCGCGTGCGCGTGCGCGTGTGCGCGCACAGAACCACTGAGCCAAATTCCCAGCCCTAATCCTGGAACTTTGCAAGTTCTATTCCTTAAAAATACATGTCATGGAACCACTGCCTGCTTCAAAAGCGCAGGGACCTGAGTTCAGTTCCTCCCACACCCCCCATGCAAAATACATGTAGTTAACTTTTGTTTCTATTCAGTATAGAAAGAACATATCATTAAATAAAAAGTGGAAGAAACTAATTTCTTTGATGGGGGCTGCTTGAGACAGCGTCTCACTATGTAGTTCCAGCTGGCCTTCGACTCACTATTTAACCCTGGCTAGCCTCAAACTCAGGGTAATCCTATCACAGCTTCCCTAGTGCTGGGATTATAGGTATGTGCCACCACACCCAGCTCTATGCACTCTGGTTTTTAGATCGAAGAAAAAATAATGAATATATATCTAATTCAAACATAGAAGCTCTCACTTTAAAGGCAAAACGAGGGTTGAGGATGTAGCTCACTGGTAGAATTATGTGCATTAGCTTGTGTCAGGTCCAATCTCAGCCCCACAAAAACAAGAAGAAATAGGAAAAAAAATCAATTATGAATACTTGGAATGTCAAAAATAGCATAAAAGGAAAAAGATAAGTTTGTTAAAGATTCTTATGCCAGGGATGTAGCTCAGTGGCTCCAATGCCTGCCTTGCAAGTACAAGGACCCGAGTTCGATCCCCGGAAAAAAAAAAAAAAAAAAAAAGATTCTTATAGATTGAGAGGGAAGGAAAAATACAGTAAACAGTCATAGAAAAATAGATAAAAGACATTTTTTAAAGTACAAAAATTAAACAATGGAAAGCAACAA